CACACACACACACACTGACGGGAGAAGGGAGAAATTCGCTCCTGGAATTGTATATAGCGTCGTTGTTCCTACATACTTCTCCAGTTTGTTTTAGTTTTTGATAACAAACTTAAGACTAACATAAGTGGGAGATTAGAAATGAAGACGCTGAATTCAGCTGAGAAATTCCAACTGAAGTCGGCAAATTTTCAAATCAAAATGGCGGCTCAGATAATGACTACAGTAAGTGAAGTGTAATCACACAATTATCGCAGGCATGAAACGAATTCAGACATGCGTATATGATTGTGTGAAATTGGAGGACGAAATGGCACAGATATAAGACAATTTGGAAGGCTTTTTTTTTTACATGTTTCGACGATGAACCGGCGTCATCAGGAAGAGAACAAAAAAAAAGAATTTAAATTCACAGAAACTAAAATCTACATTAGTGAGATAAAATGTGATTCACATTAAGTTGCTCCTAATAAAGGCCAGACGCGGGTTCGTATCCTGACGAAGAGCACATTTTCTTTATAAAGGCTTACGGCCAAATCACGTTGAAACGTCGGGTTTCACAAGATCACCGGAGTTAAGCAACGTCGAGCATGGTTAGTACCTAGATGGGTGTCCACTCGGGAATACCGGGTACTGTAAGCCTGGATGTGCGGGTGGTTTAATGGATAACGAATGAAATTTCGGAGAGCCGAGTTCTAATTCCAGTCGCGTTCGTTACTTCTCATCCCAGATATGGGTTAAATATTAAGACTTGTATCAAAAAATCATCTCGCCAAAATGCCAAAATATCTTTCGGCTTTTAAATAATCATAAAAAGGTTGATAAGCCGTAAAGCAAAGTAACCAATCAAATGAAAACATTTAAGTATTCTCGAGTGACTAGGCCGATAGACGTAATCTATACTGATAAAAATAAAAACAGGACGTCTATTTAAAACACGCGTGTCCACTAAAAATAACGTTTGAAGTAATATATATGTGTGTGCATGTATGTGTTTTTAATTTTACTGCGTTTTTGTGGAGTACAAGAGCAAGGAAAGAGTATAGCGACGAAAAAAACAGACAGTTCGTTGGATGTTTATTTGTTTTTTACGTTTTATCGATCTATTGCGGATTGTTTATAAATGAAATTTATTTCGGATTGTAAGTATAATCATTTTTTGCGAGCGGATATTGCATTGACAACTTTATGAGAATAACAATGATTTTTCCAGATACAATCCTACTATCTAACCCATAGCTGGAGGGGAAAGGAGATGGATTCATACCTTCCGAAGAGTATTTGCGCATAAGTGAATGTAACGAGCCCAACTGAAATTCGAACTCGGCTCTCTGATATCTCAATCCAAGCCACACATCCACAGAGAGGCAGACAGATAGATAGATAATGAACAAATTGTGGTAGATTATCTATCTATCTATCTATCTATCTATCTATCTATCTATCAGTTTGTTCATATCGAGAGAGAAAACGGGGAAATAAAAACAGAAAAAATATTGAGAAACAGAACTTTTATTGAAAGATAGTTAATAAATTGATCACAGCCTAACACTAAGCCAGAAATTTGGAACAACCAGGGAGTATGGTACTTCAGCTGTTCTAGTCCGCTAGAGTCACTTATTAATCTGAGTCCGTGGCAAATTTCAGCTTCCAAGCTCATGGTAATAGATAGATAGGATTGAACACAGATAGATAGATAGATAGATAGATAGATAGATAGATAGATAGATAGATAGATAGATAGGAAGGAAGGGAGGAAGGAAGGAAGGAAGGAAGGAAGAAGGAAGGATAGGATTGAACATAGATAGATAGATAGATAGATAGATAGATAGATAGGAAGGAAGGAAGGAAGGAAGGAAGGATGGGATTGAACATAGATAGATAGATAGATAGATAGGAAGGAAGGAAGGAAGGAAGGAAGGAAAGGATTGAATACAGATAGATAAAGAGAGAGAGAGAAAATGTGGATATTGCGCCAAATTTATATCCAAAATTCTGCAATTTCGATTCTTCATCTTTGACCTGTTTGTCTTTTTTCTTTTTGCTTCACAAACTTTGGCAAATCGTTGTTCCATGTTGGAGGGCTGAAGTGGCTGGTTGGGTGTCGAACCCCGGTACCGCCCACCCATTCTGCAGTGGGTAAAAATGGTGACCAAGAACTTGGATAACAATCTTCACTCACCATAGCAACATCGGGGGGAATAATTATTTATGGCCAATCCACCGCTTTTTTTTTCTGTTCCTCTAACTAATCTTAACAGTTCACCGCCCCCACACACACACCGCTCTTTCTCAGCGTTTTGTCGTTGCTGCTGGTGTTTCTTTGTTTTAATAGCAATTGCCTCCCATCACCGGAACTAATATACGAGCCCGTATCGCATCAGGGCAACCCCTAATAAAACTCGGGGATCTTTCGTCTGGACAGATTTCTTTGTGTAAATAAGGCTTTTGTGTTTGGGCTCGAATTTTATTACTTTTCGTAGCGTTCCGGAAAGGCTAACTCTTAACGTTTCGCTTTCCCTATCTCTTCCTCTTCTCTCCCACTCCTTTTCCGTCTATTATTTTTCCTTTTCTTTTCCCATCCTTTCCTTTTCTCTTGTTTACTCACACACGCCCTTCCTCTTTTTCGCTTACTTTACTTCTCTTTTTCTCTCTCGTCTACGTAAAAAAAAAGTTCTTGAGTTTTTCTCTCATCCTCTTAGCTACCATTTTTCCCCACCCAGGTGTTTTTTTTTTAAAACTATTTTTTACGCTTTCCCCACTCACACTAATCATTCACATCTGTTTTCCTTTTCTATCTTACTCTTGCTTTTATTTCTCTATTTTTCCCCATTTCACAAACTAACTTACAGGAAAAGATTTTCAGTAATATTATCTCTCTACTTTTCGAGTGTGTAGGCCGGCAGACGAAATAAATACTGTTTAAAATAAAACAAAGCTTCTACTGAAGTAGAGATATCCGCTAAAAAAAATAACGTAATGAAAATATGTTGGACTAAAAATTGAAATCCTTTAATTCTTTAGAAATTGCTTTGTTTATGATTCGGAATCGAAACTACACGACGGAACAGATAGGGATTTCTTCTACAAAGTAGAACGCAAATTCGAATACTGCCGAAGGACGTATATTCTTTAATAAGTTTTGCTCTAATATTCCGGCTGGTAGACGAAGTAAATCTTCTGCTTTTATGCGACTGTCCCTTCAGGACATAGGTGATCATGGCTCTCCATTTGCCCCTATTCCTTGTAGATCCCAATAAGCTTTGTTTCTCTGCTACTTCCCCCAAATCATGTTCTATCATCCACCCGCTCAAGCCCGCCAGGTATGTCATGCGTTGCTTTGCCTTGTCTCTCTTTCCCTCTATTCGACTTGTGAGTATCAGATGCTCCAAGCCCTCTTTTCTCATTAAGTGTCCCAGAAATTTCAGCAGCCTATTACTGATGTTAAGCATAATCTTCCTCCTTGTTTGCGTCCTAACCAAGACTTCATCGTTGCTCACACACTCGGTCCATGATATCCTTAGCATCCTTCTGTAGAACCATACCTCCGCTGCCTCGAGTCTCTTCATCATCTTTGAGGAGACCGTCCAACATTCGCTGCCGTAAAGGAGGACAGATGCTACGTAGCAGCAAAGCATTCTTTTCTTTGCTACCAACGTAATCCTCCTGTTGTGTAATACTCTGCCTAGCTTTTGGGATGCGTCTTTGGCCATTCCAATACGTCTTCGGACCTCAGCGTCGCACTTACCGTCCTCTGTCAAAACACTTCCCAGATATTTAAATTTCCGCACCTGCTTGATACGGTTTAAAATAAAATGGGGTGTTTATTCAAATACGGGTATTCAATAAAAATAATGTTTGAAGTATTAAAATATGCATTTTAGATAACTCGAACAGAACTCTTTATTTCGTCCACCAGAGTAGATTGTTCTAGTTCTAAGTGTCATGCCTCTTCCGGATTTTCTTCCGGATTTTCTCAGTTATTTCCCTTTAATTCAATGCAGAAAAAAATTTTCTTGTGGGGCGTTTTGTCCTTTAGGACTTCATCGAACTAAAAAGCGATATTTACGTTGATGTCATTACATATGCGCATGAAGTAGAGGGGACACTGAAACGTTAAATTAAAATTTTTACTAAGACGAACATGTATAGAAAGTGCTTTAATCGCTAAAGCATCCGCAGTAAATTTAAGTTCAGGTTCTCGCATCTCCTGGCAGTTCTTCTATTATCGCAATGTAGGATATTTAATAACACAAGTGATAAATACGTAAACAAAAGGAAAAGAAACTGAATCGGTTAGACTATATAAAGAAACGTATTTTTTTAATATCTGTCTATATCTCTGAGATATTATGATTACTTGCGTTATTTACATTATTCGAACTGTTATCCACATCTTCACTGCCATATTCCCAACGTTCCGGCCTTTTTCAAGTGATTGGAATTTCGAACAGAACCCTTTATTTCGTCCACCGGCGTAGATTATTCTAGTTCTAAGTGTCATGCCTCTTCCGGATTTTCTTCCGGATTTTCTCAGTTATCTCCCTTTAATTCAACTCTCCAAGTTTCGGTTCATCACTGCTGTGGCCTGGTACTGAATTCACAACTTCTTGGGTCTAGACACTGGATCTAACCAACGACTTTATCCACTGGGCCAAGGATGTTAGACATTTTCATGACGGTCGTCTTCGAGTATAGAATCCAGAGGTTGGCAGTGAATATTTCGGAGACAGTAGGAAAGCGTAGTGCAGGTTCGCAGTGGATATCGCAGCAAGGTAGCAGAGCGTAGTTCTTCCGTCTGTCCTGTTCGCCGGACAAGTTGCCTCTGGTCAGGTTGGTAGGAAAACAAAGATGGCTGCCTTTATACACGACGGATACAGTGTTGTTCGGCTTCTGATTGGTCAACCTTCTATTGGTCGACTATAAAGGGAAATAAGTCATTTTGACTCGCTCACTAGTTATATACACATATATACCCAAAAAACCGTAACAAAGGACCCATGGGTGTATAAAAATCTCCCATTTTCACATGACGATTGCATAAAGGCATGGAACTTATAGTACTTGTCGAACTTTGTACACATGAAAGGTGATTCTTTGTTTAGAATAGCTCTACCGTATTGCATGGTATCGAGCACTTTTGTTTCTGGTGTGCATGCATGTCAGACTCTTTTTAAGAACTGCTTATTTCTCTCTTTCCCTTACTTTCTCGTTCTCTCTCTCTCTCTATCTATCTATCTATCTATCTATCTATATATATATATATATATATATATATTGTGTGTGTATTTAGGCAGAGATTTTTCATTGATGCATGTTTCATTAAATAATATAAGTTTTGTCTATTTATTCCAAGTAAGTTCCTTTCAAATTGTCTGATAAGCTTAATAACATTATCATTGAAAGACGAAAAGAAATCACCATATTGATACATGTTTTAATCCTATCTAAGCTTTCGGCTTACATACGCCATTATCAAAGATCACAATTACATTTCAAAGCAACGACAAACTCGTGTATACGAGACGCGGAAGCGAAAATCGCATCGCACCTGGTGACGTCACACATGACCACGCAAGTGTGAAAACGAGAAGTATTAAGTATGGGAAGTCTTTGGTATAAACCAATGGCTTCTGATATCAATTATAGGCATTTAAGAATATTTGTGGAGATTTCATAGTTTATTTTGTTCAGGTTAGGTTTCAACTGTTTTATGTATATAGCTTCAAGAATTTTTAGTCTTTGTTCATTGTTTTCATGTTAAAGTATAGTTGTGCTTTCAACGAGGATTTTTCGGAATTGTGTACGCGGCTAGGCATGTTATTTTAAATGCCTAAAAATGTTAGAGTTATCATTCAAATATAGAGTCAAGCGCCGTGAGAGCGAGTTTGTGGTGTGACCAACATAAATTTTATTTAATCTATTAGAGGTTCAATCTCACAAAGGGCACTTGAATTTGTAAACTATGTTGGTTTTTTGCAAATCACTAACGGGGACAGGGGAAGAATCATTGCGAATAATCAAGTTGGATATACTAGATTTAGTGTAGTATATGATTAACCTAATTTTTTTATCAGGATCATTTGTAGATATATTAGATATTTACTAATTTTTTAGTATATTTTCATCTTGTTTATAATTAGTATGCATTTGACTACGATATAGGAGATTAATATGTTTGGAATTAGTTGAAGCAGTATTATGTTCAATTTGCTTAGTATTAAGACTACTAAGAAAGCATCCTATTTTTAGGCAAAGGAACTTACTTAAAATAAATAGACAAAACTTGTCTATATTAGTTAATAAAACATGCATCAATGAATATATATATATATATATATATATATATATATATATATATATAAAATCATTTCACCCCAAGCAAAGCAATAAAGCCACTCAGATGCAAGGTGTTACTGAGAGTGAAAAAACAGTGGGTGCAATAAATAAACCGGATTTAAGGAAGCAGAAAATGACGATCGACATAGAATTTAAGTTTTGAAGATCCTAGTTGTCATGAAAGCAGGAAGCCGCAAGAGAGTTCCACAAGAGATGAGGGCGTGAAAAGAAACAATTTGCACAGAACTTATGGTTACAAGTAACAATTTTAACAGTGAAATTATGAGACCTAACCGCCAATCTAGTACTGTGCTTGAATTCATTAAGGCATGGTACCGGCGAAGAAATCTCAGCAGAATAGTTACCGTGAAAATATTTATTGAAGAGGCAAAGTAAAGCTACGATACGGTGGCGTTAAAATGACGGAAGCCGAGATGCCAGGTCAGGACCGATAACTTTTACAGATTCTTCTTTGGATTCTGTCAAGAATTTCTAGAGACATAGGAAAAACAGCAAATCAGATGTGACAGTAATATTCGATACACGGACGAATAATAGACTTATAAATGTGTTAAGATAAAATTCTGATGTGAAAAATTGTTTAGCACCACACACACACACACACACACACACACACACACACACACACACACACATATATATATATATATATATATATATATATATATATATATATATTAGAGTTATAACTTAGTAAAATCATTGAGTTCCTGCATCATAATTCGATGAACTTTTGTTGAAAAATAATGAAGAAATGTTTAATTAAGGG